GGATGCATAACGAACTCTCCGATGATCATCGTTTCCAACGTGCAAACGTTGCTTTGTCTCTACTGGCGCATAATGCATTGGAACATTTTTGAAAAAAATTTTAACCAGTGATAAAAAATGGATTCTCTATGCAAAAAATTAAATGTCAAAAACAATGGCTCAGCCCTAGACAAAAACCACTTCTGACCCCAAACCCTGGACTCCATCCACAGAAAGTGATGCTTTGCATTTGTTGGGACGTCAAAGGAGTAATTCATTTCGAACTCCTCAATAAACAGTGAACTGTCACTGCAGAGATCTATAGCCAGCAACTAGAACATTTAAATCAAGCCCTTCATCTGAAACACCCTTCACTCATCAATCGGAAAGGTGTTCTTCTTCTCTATGACACGTTTGATGCAACACAAGATTATGGAGATGGGTTGGGAAGTTCTCCCCCACCTACCATATTCTCCAGATATGGCACCATGAGATTACCATCTTATTCATTCACTGCAACACCATCTTAATGGGAAAATGTATGCAAATTTGGAAGGAGTTAAAGAGGATATCAACATGTTTTTTTTTGCTTCAAAGCTAAGTGATTTCTTTAACCAGGGCATTAACAACCTGATTGTAAGATGGAAAAGCATCATCGATAAGAATGGAGACCATTTTGTTTTGATAGAAAAGTTGTTCAGGTTTTTCATGTATAAAAAAAGCGACATTAATTTCTTGACGACCTAATATATATACACACACACAAACACATTTATCACATGCCCACATGGCACAATACATACGTTCCTCTTTACCCAAACTTATCACTAAGTCATATGACACAATATCTATATTCAAACTATCCTAAGCTTATCATTAACTCATATGACATAATATTGAATACAAGTCTAAAGAGGTTATACTTTAATTGTATAGGTCACTGGTTAGGCCACATTTGGAATATTGTGTTCAGTCTTAGGCTTCTTACCTTAAGAAAGACATTGAATTGTTGGAAAGGGTTGTCATACAAGGAGAGGCTGAAATCTCTCAAATTGTTTTCTCTTGAAAAAAGAAGAGTTAGGGGGATCTGATTGAGGTATTTAAGATTATAAAGGGAATTGGTAATGTTGATGAATCATCTTTTTTATATTTAACAGTGAGAATAGTAGAACTAGGGGCTACAAATATAAATTTTGGCAAGGTAGGAGTCATGTTCAGCTAAGACAGTTTCATTTTTCTAACAGGGTGGTTGGCCTTTGGAATTGGGTTGCCTTCAGATGTTGTAGAGGCAGTAAATTTATGTGAGTTTAAGAAAAAGTTTGATAAGTATATGAATGGAAAGGGCTGGCTTTAGAATTTTTTAATTATTTTAATTTAGTTTAGAGGGTGGAACAGCCAATATGGACCTACAGGTCCCATGTTGTCCCAAAACATTATGTTATGTTAATATCTATATTCAAACTATCCTGAGCTTATCACCAGGTTGGATATTGCAGACATAGTGTTGTTAAAATACTATTATACACTCTTCTTCTCAAAAAACTCTAAGGAACTGAATAAGGAATGTGCTAAAGAAAAGGTGTTCACACTAGAACAACTACTGTTCTAACAAACACCATTTATAAACAGTGTTCCCGCCACTACAGTGTTTTCTTGTGTCCCAGCCTGATGAAACCTGTTATTGAGTGGAATGCATTGTCGGCAACAGATGTGGGAAAATATAATATTATACAATCTTCTCAGATAAAACTTTAGGAACCAAGTAGAGTATTTATCACATTATCAGACACAAGCTGGCTTTTGAACCACAGCCAGTACAGTAGAAACACAAAGATGCTTAAATATATGTCTATTTCATTTATATATTTCTATCAATACACAAATGACCAGTTTTCTTTTGTAAATAAGCTAGATGACCATTTCTTCTTTTAAGCAGTAAATTCAATAGGAAAACTGGATCAAGGACAGCAAAAAAACATAAAATGATGCAACACTCACCAGGGCCGTCTTCGTACATCATACAGGTCTGGCAACTCTGGATTTGCTGTTTTCCATTTGTTAGCTGTGAATGTAAACAAATCAGGGTAGTTTTTCTTTAAATGAAAATTACAAGTGTTGGCAGTAGAAAAGTATAGTAATGTTTTACAATCATAACATATTTGTAGCAAAATTTAGACTTTCATTAGTTTTCAATTTTAAACTTTTATTTGATTTTACACATATTGAGGTAGATAGCTTAACCCACTGACTGCTGATTCGCTGTACAGGGATAGCTTAACCCACTGACTGCTGATTCGCTGCATAGGGATAGCTTAACCCACTGACTTCTGATTTGCTGTACAGGGAAAGCTTAACCCACTAACTGTTAATTTGCTGTATAGGAATAGCTTAACCCACTGACTGCTGATTTGCTGCATAGGGATAGCTTAACCCACTGACTTCTGATTTGCTGGACAGGGATAGCTTAACCCACTGACTTCTGATTTGCTGGACAGGGATAGCTTAACCCACTGACTGCTGATTTGTTGTATAGGGTATGGTCCACTTCCAACAGTTGCATGAAAATGTGCTGTATTCAGTGTAAAGCTCACAAAAATTTTGCTTGTGTTTAAAGCAGCTGTATTCAAAGGGTTAAAACAAAATATATAGCTGTCTTATTTGGATATTTATAACTGTTTCATTGTTTTAAATGAAATTTTTTCACTTTTAAAATTCAGAACTTAGTGTTATTTACATTACTACAAAAACACTTTCCTGAAGTTTTAGAAATTTTAAATAAACAGAAACATATCATATATATACAATATGAAATCAATATTTGTAATACTAAATATTTCAGCAGTATATTCAAATCAAAACAAAATTTCTAATATTCTGAAATCATGTAAACAATCGTATGAATATAAAAGTATATTCAATCTCAAACTCTTTAAAAATTCAGATCTTACATCATAACATTCAGAAACCTTGAGGTGAGACTGTGTAAAATATAATCTTAGAAACAGAATCTCTCATAAAAATAAATTCAATCATGTAACTTATAGGTAATTATATAAACTTTAAAAATTTAAATCTTACTAGTTGACACTCAGAAACCTTGAATTGAGATAATTTAAATTGTAATTTTATAAATAGGATTACTCATAAAAACAGATTCAATTATGTGACATATAGGCAAGTATACAACCTATGAATATCAAACTCTTATCAGATAACAATTAAATCAAGCTTACAAATCAGCACATAGAGCTGTTGCATTCACAGCTGTAACTAGGGTGGGTCTATCAGGGCACTGCCCTGAATGCAAAGTAGTAAAGGGCAGAAAAATGACCAAACTCACAAGGAAGCACAAATATGATGACATGTCCTGGGTGTTAAACTGTCCAGTTATGGCTATGGTTGCATTCCTATCTAGGAAATATTTTAATGAAATGACTTTATCTGATTCAACACATAATAGAAAGTTTCTAATTGTTACCAGATAAGGATGTCATGAAGCCACATTAACTTATACTTGATCATATATAAAGATTCTATAGTTACAAGATAAAGATTTCACAAAGTCATATTAAGTAAATCTACATTTGATCACATATACAAAGGTTCTGTTGTTACAAGATAAAGAAGTCATGAAGCCACATTAACCAAGCCTATACTTACCATATATAAAGATTCTATTGTTACAAGATAATGAAGCCACATTAACTAAACCTATACTTTAGCACATATAAAAGGTCTGGTTCTTATTCAGTTTAATTCTCATGAAACTATCTACAGATAGCCCTGATATAAATATCCAATATCTTACCAGGAAATGTTCTCATAAAACCAACTTGACTACCAAAGTACTGCCACATCAAGTTTTTGTCTTCTTCTGCATTCTTCCTAAAAATAGGATCTAGTGCTGCTGACCACTTTAATCCATTTAATATTTCAGGGTCTGATCCAAAAGAAAGTAAAACAGTACAAACTGATATTATATACAAGCCCAACATATACTCAAAGTAGTAATCTCTACACCATTTGCAAGAATACTGTAGACAACTCTTTAGTATGAAGAGATTGGATTATGTATATACTCTTGATAACCATTTTGAAGTTGGTTGGTAATACAATTTTAATCACAGTACTACAGTAATGGAAGAAAGTTACATCTTTTGTATAGCAACTGAAAACTGATCAGGTTCAACAAATCATGATTTGAAGATTACTGCTCAATAAAGCTTGCTAGTTTCCCCAAAAACAAACAAACAAAAAACATTTAGCTAAGAGTTGTAGCCAAAAAATAAAAAATTCTAAACAGAAAATCATCAAAAGAAGGAAAAGTGTAATTAGCTTTAAGTTGCCAATTTCATTTTTTTGTAAACAAGGAAATTAACATTTTAATTAATGTAATGAATTAATGATCCCAATCCTGCCCAGAGTAGTTCTCAGGTAATATATAAACATGCTATTCAACTATTTATTATAATAGCAACCCTACATGTATGTAACATTATCCCAAAGTACATGTTTGTTTTCTTAGCTCTGAATACAATCCTATCTGTACATAAGACAATTCCAAAAGTAGTCTTGTTTTAGAGGATACTTACAACCTTCATATATCTCAAGAGGGATGTGGACAGCTGAATAACTCTTGTTGACTCCCTTTCTGAACTTTTTATCATACACTAATCTGGGATCATTTTCCATGAAGCTTTTCATACTAACCCAATGCACATCATCTCTCTAAAAACAAAGTACTACTTTATGTAGTTATCAGTAAACAGATCTACAACATATATTTATTTACATAACAAGTTAAATATTTTTTACTATTATTATTTAGCACTTTCATAAATACAATGGATAATTCATGCTAAATATTACCTATAAACTTATAGCAGTGTTTTATTCATTAGCAGCTGGCTGTTCATACAATGGCAGACAAATTTAGTTGTTTTACGAGTAAATTAATACATATCTATGTAGGTAACTTACTCCAGTTGGATGTAAATATGAAGAATTATCCAACATGAATCTTGCTGATTAATCAGGAGAAGAAATATTGGTTTAAAACAAACAAGAGGCATCAAAAAACACAACATTAATTTATCTGTCCAGGCAGTCTTTAACCTGTACAGTTGTTTTCAGTAGTTAAGCCCACTTCAGTACTGTTCACATGCAAGCTAAGATAATGTACATAAAGTGCTTACTGGACTTTTATTGTTAGTTTCCTTTCTAAACATTTTACTTTTGTAAATGTCTAGTTAAGCTTGTTAAACATTTGCTCACTTCTCTCTTTTACAATGTCTGTTATCCTATTTTGGGCTAAGTTAAAATAGTTAAATCTATATGAAGTTATAAGGGCTAATGGAGACTTAAATTGTAACTATACACAAAGAAGCAAATTTTTAATTAATACAACAAGAAGTTGCTTTTGTGAATTGGAAAACTGAATTAATTGGAGATACTGATCAAATGTGGAAAAATGTAAAAACAAATTCTTAAATGTTGAAGAGAGATGTGTTCTTCATAGAGAAAAACCAGGTTGGCTCTCAAAGAGCACAAAGGGTACAAGTAAAGAAAAGCATTATAAATTTAAGAAGTTTAAATTGAATGCTATGATGCGAGACTTTGAGGATTATCGAAGATCAAGAGAATAGGTCAAACAGGAGATCAAAAAGTGTATATAAAAAAAAGTTGGTTAGAAATATAAAAATTTAAAGTAAGGATTTCTTTACATACAATAAAGGTAAGCAAAATTTTAGGCTGGGAGCAGGCTCATATCTGATGATTATAAGAAAGCCAGGTTATTAAATTAGTGTTGTTTTCTTATTGAAAGCTACACAATGAGTTATCTGTGCTCTGTTGAACATGGGGAATCAAACCCTAGATTTTAGTGTTGTAAGTGTGTAAATTTACTGCTGACTAACTGGTGGACTATTCAGTTTTACTTTTTCTTCAATTTTTCCTAATAAAGTTTTAAGTAATATTTCTCATTCTGAACAGTTTCTAGACAAAAACAAAATCAAACAACATGATCATATTAATCCTGAGTTTGTTAAGAAACAACTTGGGAAGTTCAAAGATTTATAAACTCCTGGGCAAAATTATATTTCCTGAAGGCTTATAAAGGAGATTAAAGATTGGATATGTTAGCCAACTGCTACTATTTTTTTTTAAAGTTTTGAATAGTAGGCAGGTGCCAGAAGACAGAAAGTTGACTAATGTTATTTTTCTTTTCAAGGGAGGTGATAAGAATTGTTCCAGTAATTATAGGACTATTAGTTTTACATCAGTAGTAGGAAAAGTTTTTGAAAGCTTAATAATACATTTTAAAAAAGTTTTAAATTTTGTAAGATATTCAACATGGTTTTACTATGAGAAAATCTTGTGATATTCTATTAGGAGGTTACTGCTTATGAAGATGAAGGTATGGGTGTGGATTTGATGTAGCTGGATTTTCAAAAAGCATTTGAAAAGTTACATCAATGACATCGATGAAAGAATGTCAATAGCTTACTTGGGTTTTGTTAGGCATTAGAATACTATTGTTTTACAAAAAGATTTAGATTATTGGTAAGTTGGGCAAATAAATGGCAGATGGCTTTTAATTATAATAAATGCAAAGGAATGCATGTAGAATACTATGAGTTAAATTATAAGTATAATTTTGTTTGGAATAACTTTAACACTGTTATGTATGAAAGGGGTATTGGTGTTTAGGTTGACCAGTCTCTAAGTCATACAAGCAATGTGCTGTTACGAGTGGCAGAGTAAATAGGATTTTAGGTTGGATCTGCAGAAATAATGAATACAAGTCTAAGAAGGTTATAATTTCATTGTGTAGGTTATTGGTTAGGCCACATTTGGAGTATCATATTCAGTCTTAGCTTACCTTAGAAAGGACAATGAACTATTGGAAAGGTTGTTATATGAGGAGAGGTTAAGATCTCTGAAATTGTTTTCTCTTGAAAAAAGAAGAGTTAGAAGGGAACTGATTGAGGTGTTTAAGATTGTTAAGGGAATTTATAGTGTTGATGCATCATCTTTTTTCATATTTAATAGTGAGAATGGTAAAACTAGGGGACACAAATATATAAATTTTGGCAGGGTAAGAATCATCTTCGGCTAAGACAGTTTAATTTTTCTAACAGGGTGGTTGGCCTTTGGAACAGCTTGCCTCCAGACATGATGGATGCAGTCAATTTAAAGGAAGGTTTGATAAATATTTCAATGACGAGGACTCGGTTTGAGTGTTTTATTTTTATCTTAAAGTTTAATGTGAACCTTTTTCAAGAATTATACTTTAATTTTTTCAACAATGTTACTAATTATTGATTCTCATTAATACTTTCTCCCTTACAATTACTGACCTCTATTTCAGGATCATATGTGTAATTCTGCACTGCATCTTCAGCCTGATCAACCAGTCTCTACAAGGTAAGATATTAGGTATCAAAATCTTATATAAATGACATTTTATTTACATATATATAATATGTGACAAAAATATAAAACATGAAAGTAAGTGTTACAATTGAGATAATTACAGGGTGAGCAACAGTAAAAGAAAAATGTTAGTGTAAGAAAGTTTGTTACAATTAACAAATATTAGAAAAGTACACAATAGGAAAGAACACTGGAAATTATAATTTTCCAATTGTGAAAATGTATTTCTGATAAATACTTACCTTCTCTCACAAAATTAGCTATTACTATTTAGTTCTGCTCTCTATATGCAAGCTTCTTCTTTACGCATACCACAAGCCTTCTGCTCCCTCTACTGGAATTGTAATACTCCAACATGTCTCTCTTGCAAATCATCATGCATAACTTCTCCATCAATAAGAGCATGACATGCTCACGTGACTCCCTCTATACTCATCTCCAAACTATCATTTCGAAGTTTGGCAGAAGACTTAAGCACCAGAAGAAAGTGGGGAGGAAGGGTGGGAAATGTGAGTGGAGGTAAAGTATGTATCAGAAATACATTTTGTGTATTGAAAAATTATAACTTCCGATATGGTACTTACCTATACTCACAAAATTAGCTAGAAACCCACATTGAATAAGCGGAGGGACTGGTGTGAGAGAATTATAGAAGTACCCCCCTCCCAAAGCATCTGAAGGATACCCCTGGAAATGAAAGAGTCAGATCAGAAGAGGGGGAACTGCACCACTTCTTTGTAGCCATCTTTGTGTGGAACCTTTTCAGGATGGTGTCACCATGGTCGACCATCCCAGTGGCTTGGAACTGGAAAGTGGTAAGGATTTCCATACTCTACTAGAAGAAAGGAGGGTGAAAAGGTGGTGGAGAGTCCATAGGAATGTCATCACCTGAGACAGTGCAATGGGTGACCATGAAACTGTATTTTGAAAAGCAGACTATACCAAGCTATTCACTACAGGCATGACCAGCTATCCCCTTCTGCTTTACCCATGGGTGGTACAGTCCAGGACATGCATGTTTATGAAGCAAAATATTGTGAGGTTATTCACCTACAAGTGATCTTGTGGAACACCCCTTTTCAATGGTGAGCATTGTGAAGCCATGGAATATAAAACGTGAGTCAACATGGCTGTACAATGCAGATTTCAAGTTAAAGAATACCTGGTCAGGCACCAATTGCCACAAAGCGGGATCCATATAATGAGGAATGAGGAAAAGGGCCCCTGAAAAGAAAGAAAGTATGAATAGAAACTTGCTAGTCAGAGTTGCACCAAAGTCTGAAGAAGGACCACAAATGGAAGATGAAAACCTGATGAAAAAGAAACTGTGATATGATGTAGATAACAAAAGACTAACGTACTGGCATGGTCCACATTCCCAACTGTAGAATCTCCTCCAATGGGCAATGAGGACGAGAAGCGAGGGAAAAGGTGAGGTGTCTAATCTGATGAGAAGACACCCAAAACATATTCTGGTAGGAAGATAGCAAGGAGGAATAAGCCAATCGGATCAAATGTCAGACCCAACTGGTAAGTCTTGAAGGTGAAAGATTATGAAGGAAGTAAGACTGCCAGGGGATAAAGAGTCAGGAACAGGTACTACGGAAGGAAGCCGTATGGGCAATATAACAACAAAGAGCCCTGACCAGATATAGAAGCCGATCTGGATCTGGTAGAGGGTAAAGATGAGAAATGGAAGAAAGGGAGAGTCAAAAAGGAGAAGTTACTGCCACTGAGGTTTTTGGGAGGAAGGAGCGATCTGGATAAAGGACAAGATAGGTAGGGTGATAAAGTGTATGTGAAAAATCAGTGGCAAACAAATCCGACCGTTGACATCTGCAGGCTCAGAGGAGAAGGAAATATGTTTTGAGGGAAAGGTGAAACATGGAACATGAGGAAAGTGGCTCAAATGGAGGTAAAGTGAGGGAATGGAGTACTACATTAACTCCCAATCTAGAAGGGTGATGCAATTTGAAAGAATGCAGTAGCATGGTAAGGACAGGTGAAACAAAAACTCTATGGTATTGGGAAAAAGAAAGGTATGGGATAAAGCTGGCTGATAACCTGAGTGAAGAAACCGAGGACCCCCGGTCATAAGGCCAAATGAGAAATTCTGGCACCTGAGCCACAGTAGGCTGGTCAGTGAGCAATCCCAAAGTTGTAGACCAACTGCAGAAGACCTTCCACTTACATGTAAGAAGGACATATGGAACCAGCTTGAAAGAAAGCAACTTGACAGGAGAAACCAGGTCTCCTCACCAAGAACCGGATAAAAGCCAGGTAGACAATGGAAGAGGTACAGGAGGGGAGAGTAGCAAGTGCTGTAACTGCAGAAACCATGGCTGAGCTAGCCAATAAAGAGCAATCAGAAGGATCTGACAAGGAGTGGTATGGATGAAAGAGATCACCCGATGAAGTAATGAAATGAATGTGTTTTGTTGGACCCAGTATGAGAGATCCAACATCCAAAAAAAATATCTCTTGACCGGGTGCACCCTTGCTAATCTATATGTGTCACCACCATAGAATTGTCTGAATGAACCATCACCAGACAATGTCAGGCAAGAAGAAGGAACTGATTCAGTGCCCGACATACAGCTAGAAGTTCAAAAACATTGATATGTAAAGTGCTTTTATCCACAGACCAATGGCCCAAAGCTTCCTGATGGTTGACCCATGCACCCCAGCCCTGCACGGATGCATCCCTGCAAAGATGATGTAGATCCAGACGTGAAGGAGGAAGTGGCACGCCTGCTGGAGTATGTGCCTTGTTCAACCACTAAAGCAGATAATCTTGCAGGGTAAGAGAAAGGGTAATGGGAGTAGAAAGAGAATCCCACGCAAGGTTCCACTGAATAGATCTCATATGCGCAAGACCGAGAGAGACCAGTGATGAAATTGAAGACCAAATCCCCAAAAGTGACAGAATCTTGAGAGCAGTAAGTGATTGAATGGAGAGGGCATGGGGAACTAACAATTCCATAGAACGAAGTCTTAAAGGAGAAGGCTGGGCCCGACTGATAATAGTGTTGAAAAGGACCCCGAAATGAACAAGATATTGAGTAGGTCTGAGAAAGGACTTCTCCAGTTTGATTAACCAGCCCACTCGAGCAACCACTAAAAAAGAGCTGCTAAGTATGGCTGACAGACTCCAGTTCAGAATGAGTGAGAAGAATCAAGTTGTCCATGTAATAATAAACACTCAATGCCAGAACATGAAGATGTCGAGCAAATGCTTAAACCACCCAACAGAAAACATAAGGAGCCGAAGCAAGCTCAAAATGGTAGTGCTTGAAATTGATAAACCATCCTTAGATGGACAAACTGAAGATAAGGATGAGACTAAGGAGATACAGGCATATGGAGATAAGCATTGGTAACATCCATAAACCCGGAGAAAATGGAATGCCAGCAATGAAGAAAATCGACAAACCGAGCTTCCACCGGACCAGAACCCACTGGATAGCTACTGGTACTGTTGGCGATGTGAGGTGTGTCATAGAAAAAAAATGACAAGAAGAGGCATCCCACAAGGAAGGAAAAGTAAGGGTTGGGAAGGTGAAGGACAGGAAATGTTAATAAAGGACATATGGGGCTCTGACTGAGACAAATGTGTGAAAATATTGGTAATGATGGATTGTTGTTGGACTGATACCACGGGTGGCTCTAGTGTTTCCGGGATCATGTCAAAAGCATATCGCTGCAGAAATGTGGTCCATATGTAAATTCTGAAGACAGGTCAATGGTAAATGGACCTGAACCAAAATCTCATCATGACCTAGAAGGTCCCAACAACAGAAAAACCGGGTATGCAAAGCCAGAGCTGAAGATGACAAACGAGCTAGTGTGGAGGAAAGAACAGAAAAGGTGTCCCCTGAAAACCCCTCAGGATTTCTGTGGAGAGTCTCAAAGAGGAGGTGTAGAGAAAAAAGATACCATAAAAGAGTTGTAAGGGTAAGAAGCAGGCAAGAAAACTGGTTATGGGTCAGACTGACGGGTGATTCGGGAGCCGTTCCTCAAACAGGCAATATGGAACCTAACAACTGTTGGTCCAAAAAGGGACAGTCAGCATGATAGTATGAAAGCACGAACTGCTCCAAGGCCCACGGAGGGCATGGTATGCTAATCCCATTGTTTAATTGCAAGGCAAATTGACCAGAATGAACCTGAATATTGGAGGAGGGAGGAAAAGCCAAAAAAGGGGTGTGTGGATTGGTCATGTAGTAAGGAAGGACATTGTTCATAAGAAATAGGAAACTTCACATACTTGAGAAACAAAATCCAAAAAGACCGAGTTAGGCCTAACTGATTCCTCAGGTGTGTGTGTGTGGGGGTAAAGGTATGGCAAATCAGTAGCTGAAAATAGATGATCCAATTCCTCATCAGTCTCAACAGGCTCTGCCTGTTCGGGAGGAACTGGGGACAAAGGCTGGCCCATGTAGCGTTCGATCTCCCAGCAGATAAATCCACCACCAGGTTGCCCACACCTGAAGCCCGATAAAGAATACTAGTCGCTTGTGTGACCCCCAAAGTGGTAACATGAACTTTGGAATTTATTGTGAAGAGCCTACCAAATTTGAGCAGTGAATTTAAAAATAATGCAACTGGAACTAACTGATAAAATTTTTAAAGCGAAGAAACTGTCTGAATGAAAACTCAATAAATTAAAGAAAACCACTTTGTGAGGAAACTAAAGCCAAATGTGAATCATTAAACAAACAAGAAACACATCCAAATTCAAGCAGTAGATCAGTATAGAGGGAGTTACATGCATAACATGAGCATGTCATGCTGTTATTGGTGAAGAAGTGATGCATGATGATTTGCATGAGAGACACATTGGAATAACACAATTCCAATAGGGGGAGCAGAAGGCTTGTGGCATGTGTAAAAATGTTAGCTTATAGAGGGCAGCACCAAATGGGAATAGGTAATTTTGAGAGAGAAGGTAAGTACCATATCTGAAGTGATGATGAAAGTAAGTCTTATATTTTTGGTACAAGTAGTTTGCTCATACTCTAACTGATCAAATGGCTCTAAAGCTATCAACAACAATCATATTCTTTACACATATTCACAACTTACAACATTCGATATACAGTTAAAATAAGAATGTAAAAGAATGGTGTACCTAGCTAACCATAGAAAATACTCGATTCTATCAGATTCATGACTTCTCAAATATTACCAATCACCCTTAAAAGTCCTTCTTAATAATTTCTTGGGGTCTTCCAATATTCTGTTGGAGAATGTTACATACCTGTAAAGCATCCATCTTCTTCTTCAGAGCATCTGCTAAAGCTCTTGACATGTTCTCAACCAATGTTGTACCATCTAATGGAATCAGTTTCTTCTTGGAGCTTAGTTTCATATAATTCTATAACAAAAATGTTTTATATGTATTTGTAGATACAACTTAAGCTGTGTAATATAATTAATCTTGCATGTATTTGTAGATACAAGTAACACTGTGTGGTATAATTAAATCTTGTATGAATTAGTAGATAAAAGTCAAGCTGTGTGAGACAATTTTTGAAAACAATGGAGACTGAACCTCCAAAATCTTTTCATTAAAAGTATTATTAGCTAAAGAAACATGTTACTTTCTTCAAGGTGGACATGTTTTTTAACCCTCTAGCTAATGGTACGTCAAATTTCATGTCACTATCTTTTACAGAGTTAAATTCAAAATTGAATTATGAATGTATACAAATAAACTTGGCATCAAAATATACTTAATAAGTCAAATTTTAATATTATTTCAGTTTTAATTTCTAAGTTTTAAAAGGAAATAATTAATTAAATCTTCAATTTATCCTAGTATAAGAATTGTGATATTTGTTCTCTGAGTCTTGCCCATTCTCTTAATTTATTTACCACTCCTCTCTGAAGTATGGAGTTTAACATAAATTACTCATTACAATACAGATATGATAGTCTAATTTTATATCCCCCAGTCTATAAGAGAGACATAAACTAAAAAGTCAGACCCAATTGCCACATCTACTCATCACATTGTCTCTTTCACAAACTGCTAATAATTCTCTCTGACATTTTACATAATTTATAACCACTAAAAAGAAAATGTTTTAATTTATCAAATTACATATAATGTTATTCTGCTTTCAATATGGAGCATTATCAATTTCATCTTCAGTTTGAAAGTTTATCTTGCATGATGGAATAGCTAAGGGAATTATTTTAAGACTTTTATGCCTTAATTAGAAAGCCAGGTCAATTATAATAATTATAAGACAATGTTTGCTTTGTGCATATTATTATTCTGTGTTCTTCAGTGCATTCTTTAAATAAATAAAAATTATTTAATGTACTAGTATCATCGTTACAAAATAAAAGTAGGCTTAATTTACACTGGCAACTGACAGCAAAAAATATGTTGAACATAAGTACTACATATTTCTTGTTTTTTTATCTATATTTAGTATTTAACATTATAGAAGTAAGTAAATGTAAAAATTAGAAACTTATTTGGTTAGATAATGAAAATTTTAATAATAATTCTCCATGTGGTATGCTTATGATTAGCTCATGCTTCATTACTTCATTCAATACAGTAACTTGAGCTACACATTTGCCAAATGATTTACAACTTGTTTAGCAGGATTATTAGTTAGACAGGTTCAAAAAACAATAAAAGTAAGTTGAAACAGATGTAAACTGTTTCAATCTTAAGTTATTTAGGATAAACAACTATAGTTACAAGGTCAATCAAATTTACTGAGCACAGATAGAGTTTGGGTACAGAAAATAACAGATAAATATACAGTTTAACTGAAAAAACTTTTGATATTTATCTAAGAGGTTTTAGAGATTAGACAAATGAAATTTGAAAATTTTCAGATTAAGAACATTATTTTTAATCTTAAAATTAACATCACTTTTCACACACACACACACACATATATATATTCATATATTCATCAATAAATCAATAAAAATACTTAATTAAAAAATCAGATGTTTTGTGTACATGAGACTTCAAATGTTTATTGAAAACTTGTTAAATTTTATGAAGATACACATACCATATAAAAGTTATATTACAAATACTCTCCTGATTACTTGGTGGTTACAAGCTCAGTGTACTCCACTGACCCTGTATGGAACGGGTTAATCAAATACAGTGGTCCTTTAAAAATGGAGAGAAATTTGACAATAATTACCAGAACTCTGCTGTCATTCTAGTAAACCTATGATTTCTGGCAAAATGATCACTAGGCTAATCACTTTTCTCCATCAGTATAAATAAGTAATTAAAAATAAAACATTTTTAGTTTTTGTTCAACAGAATTAGAGAAAAACATCATGCCTACTGTGTGGAAGATTGAATACTTACATCCATATTGTGCAAAATTAACTTTTTATTAAGGTGAAAATACCCCTTTTTATTGCCATATATCAACTTTAAAAAGCTTTAGGAATATAAAACAATCTTATACTTGATTCTTTACGATTTCTTCTATTGGAAGTTCATGATAGTTGTGTATTCATGTTCAAATCCTTTTTCATTAAGAATTTTGCATAATACAGTTTCTAATTAATCTACTGGTGTTGAATGTCAGTCACAACTAAACTGAATGTATGAATCCAATTTATATATGAAAATTAATGAATAGTTTCTTTATGAAATTATGATGATGGAGAATGTTTAAATTAATTGTATCTTAAAAGAAAATAAAGGAGACTTTGTACAACAACAGGAATTAAGGGAATTGTATATTAAAGTTAAATAAAGGAGGTTGTAGAACTAGAAAATTTAAAAGGAATTATGTATTAAAGGAAAACAAAGGAGGCTTCGTATAACAATGAGAATTTAAGAATAGCTACATGTTAAAGGAACGTCATGAAATTGATGTTATTGAGCTGATATTGTTTCAAGGAACTGACTTGAATGGTGAATTTTCATATTTATTTATGATAAATTAATTTGTAAATATTATTTCCATATTGTTTAACTACTAAGTAGTTTCTGATAAAGGCAATGTTATGTGTTGCTGGGTTTGAATACTGACCTGCTACAATAATTTACTTTTCTTTCTGAACTCACCTTATTTAACATTTCAATGCCAGTTATTCTGTCAAATAACTCAGCAAAACTCCTGTCTAGCTTCATTGCCCATTGATAAACTCTGGAAAAAACAAAAAAACAGCTATCAATTCTCTTAACAATCTGATTACCTCTTAAGTTAAAAAAAATAATCAGAAATCTTAACCTGTCTTCTTCTGACAACATTTCCATCCTAGAAGTCCTCATCTGAGCACTTTTCAACAATTCACTGTCCTTCCTAAGGTAAGGTCAAAACTGAACACAATACCCTAAATGTGGCCTAACCAGTTTCCTATACAATGACATCTTAACCTCTTTAGACTTGAAATCAATATTTCTGTGAACAGAACCTAAAATCCAATTTGTCCTATCACTACCAATATCAAACTGCTTAGATTTCTAAAGAAACTGATCAATCAGAACTCCAAGATCCTTTTCTTCCATAACACTGTTAAAGTACCATCATAATACTGTCATCTGCTTTCTAATAATCCAGGTACACCAATCCACAACCTTGCTATCATCTACACAAGCAGTAACCTACTTCCAAGAATGACAAATTATGTTGTTACTGTAAGCACAGTTACTTTTAAGTATCAGAGACATAACATTGAAGTGACTGTACTATGTATCCTTCATTATTACACAGTATACTATAGTTAAAGTATCCTTCATTATTACACAGTATACTATAGTTAAAGTATCCTTCATTAGTACACTGTATACTATAGTTCAGGTATCCTTCATTATTACATTGTATACTATAGTTAAAGTATCCTTCATTAGTACACTATATACTATAGTTAAAGTATCCTTCATTAGTACACTGTATACTATAGTTAAAGTATCCTTCATTTGTACACTGTATACCACAGTTAAGGTATCCTTCATGATTACACTGTATACTATAGTTAAAGTATCCTTCATTAGTACACTGTATACTATAGTTAAGGTATCCTTCATGATTACACTGTATACTATAGTTAAGGTATCCTTCATGATTACACTGTATACTATAGTTAAGGTATCCTTCATGATTACACTGTATACTATAGTTAAGGTATCCTTCATGATTACACTGTATACTATAGTTCAGGTATTCTTCATTATTACACTGTATACTATAGTTAAAGTATCCTTCATTATTACACAGTATACTATAGTTAAAGTATCCTTCATTATTACACTGTATACTATAGTTAAGGTATCCTTCATTATTACACTGTATACTATAGTTAAGGTATCCTTCTTTATTACACTCTACTATAGTTCAGGTATCCTTTATTACACTGTACTATAGTTCATGTATCATTCTTTATTACACTGTACTATAGTTCAGGTATCCTTCTTTATTACACTGTACTATAGGTCAGGTATCCTTCTTTATTACACTGTATACTCCTTGAAAAAATTTATAAATCTCTGATCTGCCATTACTTTTGAGATGCAATTCTATACATATTTGTGATTTCAAGGCAAAGCCTTACTTAACAATTTTGTGTGTTATCCTAGACAAATGAATATGTTATTAACTATTATTAGCTTTTAAATACAAGTAGCATCTCAATAAACAAAATTACTTCCTAAAACTACTTTTTTACAAATCATCAAGAAGTACTTTCAATTTTTGATTATCAGTAGATGAAGCTTTCTTATATTTTTATAGATTACTTTTGTGCAATTTCTGGCATCCATAACTATCAAACTACGTGCTCCTAGCTGAAACTGTATTCATCATTTTGAGTCTGTTAAAAAGTACATCTCCAAATAATCACTGTTTATCCATAGATTTCACTATCAAACAAAATAAGATATTTCACTACATGTGGTACTTACTCAAAAAAGCTGTAAGAGAAAACAATCATGAATAAAAACAAAGTGAATTTTATGTAGAATATTAAGACAATGTTATTCAAAGTTCATTACTGGTACAACAAATCCATTATTTTTTATTTTCTGTATCGTCAAGATGGTATCTTTTTATACCATACTTTGTTCTGGAAGTTTGAAAATAATCTAAGCTAATAACTAGTACATTTATTAAAATAGGATATTGTAAGTAAACTTTCTACTAATTCTAGCTCCAACTATACACCCAACACAAGGTTCAACTTTTATGTTATTAACAGTAGCAAATGATTCAACTTCAAAGTTCAAGAAACGACTTCTACTAGACACTAGTACTTACTACTATATACCTCCTAATAATTTATATTAAGTGTAATGAGCAACCAGATTTTATAATTTCATACTTTAAGCTTAACTGAAAAAATATATTACACATTCTAATACAGGAAATGAATTCAACAAAACCAAGTAAACTTTTAACTTTTATGCATCTAACCTTTGTAATAGTAGGCTTCCTAATTTTACATCAGTCCAAAGTTTGATGTTTGTCGGGCATTAGAGAAAAGCATTGCGACGCTTCACAACGTCTTATTATCTTTTGGTTTGAAATATTTGATATTAAACTCTAGGCTTCATCACAATTATTCTGAATAACTGATTCGATGTTTACTTAAAGGTTCATTATCTACAAAGTCCTTTTGTAAAAAAAAAAATGGAGAATAGGTTTAAAAAATGAGGTTTAATGAGCTTTACTTTTTGTATCGACTTCAGGTACTGTCAAACTCAAAGACTCAAACACCATTATGATTACTGTGAACTGTAGCTTTGATTTAGGGCCTAGGTTAAACTACGTATTATATTATTATTATTTTAATTTGTAATATAGCAGGGAGTTTACACCTTTTTTAAAACCCAATAAAATGGGAAAAAAACACTTAGCAAATGAAACTGAAAAACCGACTGCTAGATTAGAGATTTCTTCAACAAATAATAAATAGCATTTGAAAATAAATAAATAAGATATTTAACTATAAATATAATCTATATAGGGAGAAAATGTAATCGTTAGTACCAGGCTCTCCTGATTCTTTCCTTTCTTGACACTTAGCTTATAATACATTTACAAATTACAGTAACGCACATAAATAAGTTAATGTTACTGTTAGATTTGTACCGTAAAATGAACATTCATTTAAGTTATAACTTTGAGTTAGACGCCATACTTTTCTAAGTTTAGGCCTACGTACGGGTAAGCTTCTGACGTTCTGTGTATTGTAACGAAATACTTACTCGTTTTCATCTGGAAAATCTGGAACAAGTCTTTTATTAAGAGAACCTACAACGGCTGGAAGTATCATAATGACAACTGTTATCAGTAACCCTATACCTTTTAAACATCCAGTTACACGATTGCTTGTAGAATCCATGACTTCATTCACACGACTCATGATAGACTAAGTTTACCAACGTTCACGAATCCGAAACTCTCCGAGTAGATACTCTAGAGTGTGACTGTGTGTGTATGCTCTAAAACACGAGTATCCAACCAATGTCGTTTTCATATGTATCATAAATACCTTTCTGTACAAATATAAGTTATCACAATAGTGAACTTATTACACAAGAACAGAAGTTATCGTTCATATCTATTTATTTATGATTAATTTGTTATTCCACTCTATATGTAGGTTGGTAAGATTAGGTATACTTTCAACATTATGTAAAATATCACATGCAGTGAATTTCAAACCTGGTTCTTATATTTTAAACTTTTGTCTGAGGCAAAATACAAGACATTTTTTTTTCCCAAACCAAATTTTGTAAACACTTAAAATAATTCACAATTAAGATAAAACGTTCTTTTATCTTAACTGGTTAATTAAATTTACCTTCGTAAAGTACATGAATAACTTTTGTCAATAAAACTACTTTAATGAAATACAAATTTAATTAAACTCAGAATACAAAGGCTGAACTGTCCAAATTAGTAAAAAAAATGTGGACAAATAATTATTTTTTTACAAGTTTATGGTATAAAATGAGCATTCATGTAGTTTTTAAAATAGTAGATAAGTAGCTCAGGCCATCTAAATGACCCGATGCTTATTGTATAGGCAATAGAAGTTCATGGTGTATGCATATTTGATACAAGTCAAAATTGGAAAGTATCTCTCTATATAAATCACTAGTTAGGCCTTACTTGAAATACTGTGTATATTGAATTATTGGAAATAATTCAGAGGAGTGCTACTAGGATCATTCCAGTGATGGAAAGGTTATCTTACAGAAATAGGTTAAGATAGGTTTACCTAAATTATTGTGTGTGTGTGTGTGGGGGGGGGGGATAGGGTAAAGGATTCTGATTGCTTTATGCTATATTATGAAAATAACTGAAGGAGAAGACACTAGTTTAGGACTAGGAAAATACTTGTTAGGTTCCTTAGGACCGTGTTATCTGTTGTTAGCAGTAGTGGAGGCCAGCACAACAGTTTAAGGGAGTAATCGATGTATTATGAAAAATAAAGGGAGGGTTTACTTTTCCAAAGGTAGGTGTACAAGAATAGCCTTGAAGAACCAAAGGGTCTCTTGTTGGCCGTAGTTTATGTTATATTGCATTATTTCTAGAATTTTGTTGACCAATCGCATTATCTAGCGCTGATTCGATAACGTTTGTAATTACTTCCTAATATCGTATTTACTAAAGCCAGGATTAACAAATGTAGCTAGATCCAATTTTCGCACCATGTAGGCCAGGTGGTTAGGGTGCTTGACTCGCAATCTGAGGATCGCGGGTTCGAATTCCCGTCCCACCAAACATTGTTTGTTTGTTTGAAATTAAGCACAAAGCTACACAATGGCCTATCTGTGCTCTGCCCATCATGGGTATCGAAACCCGGATTCTAGCGTTGTAAGTCCGCAGACATTCCGCTGTGCCACTGGGGAGCCCCACCAAACATGCTCGCCCTTTCAGCTGTAGACCAAGAGTTGGCAGTGGGTGGTGATGACTAACTGCCTTCCCTCTAGTCTTACACTGCTAAATTAGGGACGGCTAGCACAGATAGCCCTCGTGTAGCTTTGCGCAAAATTCAGAACAAACAAACAAACCCACCATGTAAAATTTAAAATATAAAGGCTGAAAATACACATCTAATAATGTAGACTCAATATAATGCTGTCCTGTGAATTTTCTCAAAAATTGTTTATTAATTAGTAGTGTTTTGCGCAATATTTTGTCTTATGCAATTTTATTATACAAGGTGGCCCCAAAGTGTAAAGCTATATACATTTGTAGTGTTTCATATTTCAAATAAGACGAAAGGATAAAACGTTCACAGACTCCTCACCTCTTAACACGACTGGTCATGTACCATAAAATACTGATTTACACATTTGAATCTTAACATCACTCACTCAATTCAGCGTTGACTCTTCTGAACTCTTGATAACCTGACTGTCACTCCCTCAATTCAGCGTTGCTTGTCCCGAACTCTTAATAATATTTCTGTATAATGCTATAGATATGGAGAAATAACAGTCCCTGTACAAATGTCTTTCCAGCTGATTTTTGATGTTATGCTAGAACACTGGTTTTGGTCACGAGGACGTACACACGCGGTTTATTCGTTCTAAATTTTGTATATTTCCACCTATTAGTGTGTAGTGTTAACGTTCATACAGTCAGTATACGTGGTGTTTATATAGAAATTTATTATATACTTATCGGTGTGTAGTGTCAACAGACATGACGGTTAATATACATGATACTTGGTGTTTATATATATTTATGTACCTATTAGTGTGTAGTGTTAACATTCATGCAGTCAGTATACTTGTTAGCCATATATATATTCATATACTTATCAGTGTGTAGTGTCAACATTCATAACGATCAGTACACATGATACGTGGTGTTTTTATCTACTTATGTACCTGTTAGGGTGTAGTGTTATCATTCATGCAATCAGTATACTTGTTAGCTATATATTTTTCCATATACTTATCTGTGTGTAGTTTCAACATTGATGACGATCAGTACACATGATACGTGGTGTTTTTATCTACTTATGTACCTATTAGGGTGTAGTGTTATCATTCATGCAATCAGTATACTTGTTAGCCATATATTTTTCCATATACTTATCTGTGTGTAGTTTCAACATTGATGACGATCAGTATGCGTGGTGTCTAAACATCTTTACCAACCTGAACTACAGGTAAATAATTGTCTTGAATTTCAGAGCGATAAAAGAAAATGATACCCTACTACCTGAATATCAAATCATAAAATCCTTGTGTCTGTGTTTGATCTTAAGCTTACATTAGTCCAAGTTCTCTGAATACAAAAACGTCAGATTCTCGTGTTTGTGTTCCATCTCATGCTCATATTAGTACAAATCCTATTTGTAGCTGAACACCAAATCCTAGCGGTTGTGTTCCATCTCATGCTCATCTTAGTACAAATTCTATGTATACTTGAACGTTAAATCCTCGAGGTTGTGTTCCATCTCATGCTCATATTAGTACAAATTGTATGTATATGTGAACGTCAAATCCTCGTGGTTGTGTTCCATCTCATGCTCATATTAGTACAAATCCTATGTGTATCTGAACATCAAATCCTCGTGGTTGTGTTCCATCTCATGCTCATATTAGTACAAATCCCGTGTATACCTGAACGTCAAATTCTCGTAGTTGTGTTCTATCTCATGCTCAAATTAGTACAAATCCCGTGTATACCTGAAAGTCAAATCCTCGTGGTTGTGTTCCATCTCATGCTCATAGTAGTACAAATCCCGTGTATACCATGAACGTCAAATCCTCGTGGTTGTGTTCCATCTCATGCTCATATTAGTATAAATCCCGTGTATACATGAACGTCAAATCCTCGTGGTTGTGTTCCTATCTCATGCTCATAGTAGTATAAATCCTGTGTATACATGAACGTCAAATCCTCGTGGTTGGGTTCTATCTCATGCTCATATTAGTATAAATTCCGTGTATACATGAACGTCAAATCCTCGTGGTTGTGTTCCATCTCATGCTCATAGTAGTATAAATCCTGTGTATACCTGAACGTCAAATCCTCGTGGTTGTGTTCTATCTCATGCTCATAGTAGTATAAATCCTGTGTATACATGAACGTCAAATCTTCTTATTTGTTTTCGGTCTCAAGCTTATGTTAGCCTGGATTATTTAACTACTAGAAGGAACTCACATTAGCTTAATTTTACCTTAATTACGCAGCAAAAAGCATATGTAATCTGAGTAACAAAGACTTTCTTAATCCTATTTTCCTAATGTCTGAGTGAAGGACGTTCCTAGTAACCTTAGCGGTGTAAGAGATTAATAGAAATGACGCCCAATCTCCAAATTAGCACATTTGACAATAATAGTATGATTACTCCATGATTAAAGCGTGCAGGTCTTCAATTCTCTATTGTTTGCATCCAAAATTCACATGCACCAAGGTCACGCCCATCTTAAAATTTGTGACTTGGTTCTGGTGGTGACATCGTTTTTGGCTGAAACTCACCGAGACGGCTCAGTTTGTTCTGGCTACAGGTGAGTTTTGAAAAAAATCTTCTTTCGGCTTCAAAGACATGGTCAAAATGGTGTCCGATACGACATTTTGATAAAGGGTATGAGCGCATGGTGCTGTTTGTAATGAAGAACCGCCCAAGTGTCGAGTGTTGTCTGTTCTTCACTCAGTTCCAATTAGCTGGTTTCTGAAACGATTGTCGACGATATCCATCGTTGTGTTATGTGGTCAAGGAAATAGATAATAATCATCAGTACAATTCCCATTGAAAATTAGAAATTTATAAATTTTATTATTGACTTCACTTAGCCCGGGAAACTAGGTTAAACTGCTTGATGAAACAACATGAATACAAATATGAGAAACATGAAACATTGACTGACTATTTAATCTCTGAGCGTAAGAAATACTTTAGAAGTTACATCACTTTCACAGTGGCAGGAACTTCCATTCTTGACAGCATCGTCTAGAAGAGGAGCAAATCAAGCAATCGTTTGATTCTTCGAAACAAGCTTGCCTTGAACGATGACGTTTCCATTACTTCATTGGCTGATACAAAACAAACGGACGTTAAAAATCTAACAGCCGACTGACGTCCACTTAAACACTGCTCTGCAGACATTTTCTTATACCACTCATCTTTTCCACTGGTATGACAAACCATATCTTACTTGTTATCAATGCTTGTCAAATATTATCTTACTTGACAACACTGTGTGACATAACATATCTTGTCATCAGTGCTTGTCAAATCTTATCTTACTTGACAACACTGTGTGACATAACATATCTTGTCATCAGTG